TTAAAAGACAAAGTCCTATGGCATTGCCTGCAAAAGTCTCAGCTTCTGGAGCAAACAGTGAGTTTCAGCTGCTGCATTGGAGGGATACCAAGGCTAGTCTATCTCTTTAATGCCAATGCTTTGTCTGATTTTAGTGATAGGAATTCCCTCTCCACTGACATTACGAGTCTAGCACATTCTCAAGGGGAGCTAGGAATAGTTAATAAATGCTGTCCCAGACAGCAACACGCACATCCCATGAATTAAGAAAAAATATTATAAACACTATTTTTAAAATTTTTCTTTAGATTTGATTTTGGAAGGGATTTCTGCATTTCTTAGAAAAGACACAAAATACTGGCATGCATTGCGAGTTGTGTTTGCACTCTTGCTGTACAAACAATGGGACAGGAAAGATAAGACAGAACGTTTGCCAGGGTGTGTGGGCAGAGTGTGATTCAACTAGCAATAGGTTGCTTATTAGTTTGTGCAACTGTGACCAGTTGTGGATGCCAGAGGTCATCAGACTGATGAGAATCTCTGATTGGTTCCTGGGTAGCTGAACAGTTGGTGTATGTGAAGAACACAGAGACTGAAGGTCTCCAGATTGCAACAAGCAGCATCTGTGTCTCTATCGCTCTGCAGTAAAAGTAACTGAAGCCTGAAGAAAACTGGTTATTTTTTCTCACCTGTTACTGTAAGCTGTTGCATTTACCTAGAAACAAAGAAACTTTATAATTACTGTACTAATCAATTTAAACCTCCTGCAAAGAAGTGAAAGAATCCAGAAAGGACATCAGTGAAAAGATCTTGGGAAGAAAAAGAAACATCTCATCAATTCCTTTGGACTGGTGCTATTGAACTGTGTTTCCCCAGTACATTTTCCTTCACCCATAACACCATTATGTTTTTGTTTGACTGTATGTATATTTGTGGAGAGGTTTAAAAGGGAATTAGAATTTCAATTAGTAAAAATAAATATTGTTAAGTTCAACTAGTAAAGTTGAAAATTGATAGTTCAGAATGTTTTTTAACTGGTAGCTGGACCGTATTTATTTGTAGTAAATGGTAGTTCTTGTTAAGTACAGGAGCCTGGTCAGTTTTTTCTATTAACCTGAATCCATCTGACAGGTAAATTGGGTACTTTGATTAAATCACTAACTTTTATGGTGACCCCAGAATAGAGGAGCCTGAGAATCAGTACAATTTCCCAAGTGGGTTGCACATAATGTTGTACTTAAGTTAAATTAAGCAGTGGATTATTGGAACATGATCTTGTAGATCTGAACCTATTGTAAAATCTCTGGGCAAAAGATCTTATCATGATCAGGCAAAACAAAAATAATGGATTGGCTTGTTTTAAATTGTCAAGTGTTTTGAAAAAAAGGAAAACATGGTGACTGTGCATTACATTCAAGACACACGTGCACAAGTCTTGTGTGTAAAGTACACTGTGCGTAGAGTAGATGATTCACACTTTAAATGAATTCTCAACTTGTGGATATCATTTCCAAGTTTGTATTTATTACATCTCCCTATATGCCCTAGTTAGAATAGAGGGGCTTTCTAGGCCACTTCAGAGCTTGGTTATGGATCACCAATGCAACTGTCAGGCTGGAGGCTCACAGATATTTATCAAACGATGGAGCAGACTCCAGGAATGAAGAGCCTACTCCTGTTCCTAATTCATATAAGACAGACTATATGAGTTTGGCAAGAACCAGTGGCATTTTTACAACAGTCTAAGAGCTTTCATCCCATGTATGTTGGTTTTACTTATTTCCAGATCTTTTGCAAAAGATTGAATTAAAATTCTTAATCGGCTGTAGTGCGGTTGGAACACTTGGATTATCAGTTCAGTATCTATGATACAGCATCAGTCGTCTCAGCACTTAAGATACAAGGTGGCAAAAATGGTGTTACTGTAAAATAATGACACGCGCACCTACCCCTTTTGTCTCTAATGCAAATGTTTCACCAAAGCTCCTAATACCAATGCAGTTAGTTGTTCAATCTTTTCCTGTCTTTTAAGGTGCTAGCCAGGCCTTAGTGGATAGCATGCTTACCTCTGAGTCAAAGTTGTGGATTCAAAGCTCACTCCAGAATTGAAGACATTATCTAGACTGACACTTCAGTTAGTACTGAGCAACAATGTACTGAGCTACATTGACAAAGGGGCTACCTTTCAATTGAGATATTGAACCAAAGCCCCGTCTGCACTCTCAGGTGGCTATTATAGATTCCATGGCACAATTCAAAAAAACAGAAGAGGTGGTTTTTCCCTCTTTTCCTGTCCAATACTTATCCCTCAAACAACACTACAACAAATAATCTAATCATTGTCTCATTGTTGTCTATGAGGCCTTTATTTTGTGCGAATTAGTTGCCACGTTTCCTATATTGCAACAGTGACCTTACTTCCAAAAGTGCTTCATTCACATGAAAGTACTTTGAGACATCTGGTGGTGTGAGAGATGCAATATATAAGGAAATCTGTTCTTTCTTTCATACATTCAATCATTGGCGAGAGTGGGGGGGTGTGTAGGTGAAGATATTGAGCAGAATTTCCCTTTCCCCTTATAAGAAATACGCCCAACAAAATAGTCTTTCAGAAAACTGAAATCAGACCATTTGAATTTAACCATATTTCTCTCCAAGTCAAATTACATGCTGTAATTTCCTACGTATCTGTCAATGGTGTTGAAAACACTGAACTTCATTGTCCTCTCCACTGGTGTCTGCAAAAGAGTGACTGAGGGAAGGTAATGCCTGTTTGAATCACTCCGTTAATTTTAAACTTGAGATATTGCCTGTCTGTGCTGTCAGTATACTGACGTACCAAATGGCAAATGATTCCAATCTGTATATAGTGCATCCCAGGGAAACTAACGAATCCATAGCTCAAGTTTACATTCAGTCTTACTATTAGCATACCAATCTTATTAGAAATGGCACACTGGTAAGGGTTGATGCAAAGGTTCCAAGCCTTTAAAGTCATTTAGGAAATCAACACACACTGTTGACATCAATCACTGTGGGCAAGACCAGGTATGTAGTCTGGATTATTACAGAGTACAGCTCCCCGACAATGAAGTAAGAATTCCCCTCAGCATGATGGGGTGAATCTGTGATTCATAATTCCCCTGTGGGAGTGCAGGTCAGAGCTAAGGCTACAGTGTTGAAGTTCTGATTATCTGGCTCTTGCACCAAGCTAACAGAATATTCTGTTGGGGGCTGTGCAGCAATGGATCACTCTTTGCAATCCCACCTCTGAGTCAGGAAGTTACAGTTTCGAGACTCGCTCCAGAGACCTGAACACGAGCTCTAGGCTGATAATTCAGTGCAGAAGTGAGAGGGCGCTGCACTGCTAGAGCTGCCTTCCAGACGAGATGCCAAACCAAGCTCTCTCAGGTCAATGCAAGAGATCTCAAAATAGGATAATTCTCCCAGTTTTCTGGATCAATAGTTATCCATCAGTCATACCTAAAGCAGATTATTTGGTCATTATCTCATTGCTGTGAACAGGAGATTGCTGACTACAAAATGACGGCAGCGATTCCAACATTACAACAGTGATCACTACCCTTCAAAAGGACTTCTAGTTGGTGACATCCTGAGGTGGTGAATGGCGATATATATTCCTGCAACCTCTTTCTTTCAACCCAGCATCACTCCTGCTGTGTCCTGGCATGTGAATATATTTTGTTTTTTGTTATTTGGGATGAAAGTGTGCATATGTATAGAAAGAAAGAGTGACCAGTCCCATCACCGTATGACAGAGTATCCTTTTCCTCCATCAGCCTCTTTAGGAGAGATCAGATTGAATCCTGTTTTATGGATTTGCTTTGTTCCTGAGTATTAGATGAGAGTTTGAGAGTTTTCAAACTGTTTTCACAGCAATCTGCCTCTTCCGTTTTCAGCAATATACAGATAATTATAATTGCTTTGAACTCTCCTTTGTTCCCCTAAGCTGCAAATTCCTCTGCCCTCTGTTCTTTTTTCATCTCTGTTCTTGGAGTTAAGACTTGTTGCATCATCTCCTACTTTAATTCAACTTATTCCAGCTTCTCAAAAATGTCCTTTGCGCCTGCTTTCGCAGGCTTTCAGAACCCAAGTACAGAGTCACCCAGTCACTACTTCGTGGATCTAATGTTATTGCCCTGTTAAAGGAAAAAGGGAGGAAATAAGAAGCAGAGATAGTAGGAACTGCAGATGCTGGAGAATTTGAGACAACAAGGTGCAGAGCTGGATGAACACAGCAGGCCAAGCAGCATCATAGGAGCAGGAAGGCTGACGTTTCGGGCCTAGACCCTTCATCAGAAAAGGGGGAGGGGAAGGGGGTTCTGAAATAAATAGGGAGAGAGGGGGAGGCGGATAGAAGATGGATAGAGGAGAAGATAGGTGGGGAGGAAACAGACAGGTCGAAGAGGCGGGGATGGAGCCAGTAAAGGTGAGTGTAGGTGGGGAGTTAGGGAGGGGATAGGTCAGTTCAGGGAGGACGGACAGGTCAAGGGGGCGGGATGAGGTTAGTAGGTAGGTTAGTAGGTAGGAGTTGGGGGTGGGGCTTGAGGTGGGAGGAGGGGATAGGTGGGAGGAAGAACAGGTTAGGGAGGCGGGGACGAGCTGGGCTGGTTTTGGGATGCGGTAGGGGGAGGGGAGATTTTGAAGCTTTCACAAGCCCGAAACGTCAGGAAATAAGAAGCAATTTCTTTGGGCATGAACTGTTAAATCTGGAGTGCCCTGTCTGAAAAGGAAGGTGGAAGCACATTTAGAAGTAACTTTTACAAAGGTAATTGGATATAGACTTGGAAAGGAAAAGCTTACAAAACTAGGGAGAGAGGGAAAGGATGTGGGACTACTGGAATGCTCTTTCAAAGAGCCAGCACAGGTACACTGAGCCAAATGCCTCTTTCTGTGATGTTTGATTCCCATTATTCCGTTCAAGTTTGGTGATGTTAAGAACCTTGACCTATATTTCTCATTTTTAAAATTATTCTTAAAATGTGGAAAATTAAATGTACCTTGACTGCAGTTCCTTCCGTGATATCCCTTAGGACATAGAATCTCGCACTCGCCAGTCACATGGTCACAGGAAACACCGACTGAGCAGCTACATTTGGTGTTACATCCAACTCCATAATAGCCATGATCACACGCTTTTAGACAAGAGGTAAGGGGAAAAAAGAAGGATACATCTTTAATCAATCCAAGATAACATATATTCATCTTCACTTTTCCATGATTATCCAGGCAGGTATCCAGCTTTTTTTTTGAAAATGATCCCCAAAAAAGAAAGCTAACTATGTAGATGAATGGTTATCACTATTTCAAGTAAGATTTTTTTTAATTGAAATGCTTGTTCATTATTTTTGTAAAATTATAACAATAAAGAGGGTATGGAGGTGAATTTACTGCCTTCGTTATACTGAGGACACAAACTTGGCTTGTGTACACTTAAGTTCAGAGATTGAGAAGTGATCTAAATCGAAGTATTTAAAATGATTAAAAGGAATCGATAGTGTAAATATGATGAAAACCATGAGATCGCATAGCTTTAAAATAAGAACATGACCCATCAGAAGTAAGATTAGAAAGAACTTCTTAGCCAAAAGTACTGCAAAAATCTAGCACTTAGCCCTACAAATGAAGCTGTTTGGACTGTGATCCACAAACTTTTATTGGGTAAAGATTAAAAGGGATAATGTACAAAGGCAGTTAAATGGAGCTGAGGTACAGATTAGCTATTATCCAAATGAATTACCAAACAGGTCTGAAATGCTGAATGGTTTCTTCCTGTTCATTTGAGCTCTTCCCCAAACGTTTTCAAACAGCTCTCCATTGTTCTTACACAGCAGTTAATGCAGTGTGGTTTCAGATTGTTAAATCATTGCAAAATTCTTGAAAGGATAAGCAGAGTAGAAAGGATGATTCCCTTGGCTGTGGGGCCTAAGAGTGTCAGTCCATAAATAAAAGGCAAGCCTTTTAGAAGTGAGCTGAGGAGGAATCTCTTCCATCAGAATCTTTAGAATTCGCCATTCCAAACGTTGTTGAAGCTCAATCAAGCATGAGCTTGAGAGATTTCTAGTGACTGATGATGTGAAAAGTTATGAGGACATTGTGGGAATAAGGCTTTATGGTCAAAGATTAGCCACGATTCAGAATGGTGGAACAGGCTCAAGGGGCTGAATGGCCTACTCTTGCTCCTATATTGCTATACATTCCTTCCTTTGTATAAACATGCACTTTTTGAAACACAGTAAATTAACAGGAAGCAAAAGGAATGTTATGTATTATCAACAGCCTTCAATTTTCAGCCCAATTTTTAAGTTGATGATTACAACCATGGACATTTTTAACCACTAAAGGAGGCAATTTGGCCCATTGGTATCAGTTGCAGCTATCTGCTGGCACAATCAAACACAAATTCCACTGTCCTTTCTAGAAGAGCAATTCCAGAGTGCTGGAGTAGAGGAGAGATAGCCCTCCACATTACCACTCGGGTTCCACAAACATTTCTTGATCCTAGAAACCCACAGGCCATTGTGTTTCAGGGAATGTTTGATCCCTTTTGCTAAACCTTCAAACTCTCAATTAACCTTCTCAATGATTGGGTACTCACCTTTATGGCAAGTGTTACCATGATAACCAGGTTTGCAAGTGCAGCTTCCATCCTTGCGGCTACACTCCAGTGTGTTGCGCTGGTCACACTGACACACATTCGAACAGCCAGGCCCATGGGTCCACTTTGGACAAGCTGATACAGCACAGTAGTAGAACAAAGAAATGGTTAGCAACTTTACATTATGATTAAAAGACACTGAGATCTACTTGAAGACCACAAGTAAAAACACTTCAAGCAACTTACATTACAAGCTTAAATCCAAATCAGTAAAATAAGTGAGAAAAAGGAGTGATATTTGTGATTCCTTTATTCATTCACGGGATGAGGGCATCGCTGGCTAGGCAGCATTTATTGCCCATCCCTAAATGCCCAGAGGGCAGTTAAGAGTGAACCACATTGCTGTGGGTATGAAGTCACATGTGGTCCAGACCAGGTAAGGATGGTAGGTTCCTGACCTAAAAGGACATGAGTGAACGAGATGGGTTTTTCCCAACAATCAATAATGGATTCATGGTCATCATTAGACTCTTAATTCCATATATTTATTGAATTCAAATTCCACCACCTGCCATGGTGGGATTTGAATCTGGGTCTCTGGATTAACAGTCCAACATAATCCCACTAGGCCATCGCCTCCCTTGTGATTTGAATGATGAACTTGATTTCAATAAATCTCAGACCAAAAAACCACGAAAGCTTTCAGATTACGAGTTCTCGAAGGCCCTTAATGGAAGGTGCCTGCAATCCTTACCAAGTCTGACCTTCATGAGAGTCCAGTCCCTCATCATGTCATTGACTATGAATGCACTTTGAGCAACTAAGAATGGGTATTAAATGCTAATGTTGCAACTAAATGGGTTCCCCTCCAGAGACTTGAGCACACCATTGTAATGCTGAAGGAGTACTGCACTGTTGAAGGTGCCATCATTCAGCTAAGAGGTTAAACTGAGGTCATCTCTGCCTTCATAGATGACTGTGAACGATCCTACAACACGTTTCCAAAACAAAAACAGAACATGGGAGTTCTCCCTGATGTTCTGGCCAATATGTATTCTTCAAGCAACATCAGGGAGAACAGATTTTTTTTTTACTATTATCACTTTGCATTTTGAGGTTGTTTGCTCTGCATACATTGTTGTAATATAGGAGTTATGACAACCAATGGCAATGTTTCATATTCTCTGGAGTTTAGAAGAATGACAGGCAACGTAGTTCAAAGTTCTGAAGGATCTTGATAAGTTGACACAGTCTCAGAATAAGGGGATGATCAGTGAGGGTGGCACAGCGCCAGGGACTTGGGTTTGGTTCCAGTGACTGTTGAGTGGGTTTCCACCAGGTGCTCCAGTTTCCTCCCCCGGTCTAAAGATATGCAGGTTAGGTGGATTTATCATGTTGTTTCATTGCCCTGTAGTGTCTAGGGATGTATAGGTGTATAGGCTATGTGCATTAGCCATGACAAATGTGGGGTTATGGGGATGTGAGGCAGGGAGCTGGTCTGGGTGGGATGCTCTTTGGATGGTCAGCGGAGACTCAATGGGCTGAATGGTCCCTTTTCAAAGTGTTGGAATTCTATGATTGAGTTGAGAAGACATTTCTTCACTCAAAGAGTTATAAATCTTTGGAACCCCCTACTCCAGAAGTTTGTGAAGTCTCCATCTTTGAATATATACGACGCTGGGATAGACAGATGTTTGGTCTCTCAGGGAATCAAGGGATATAGTAAGCAGGGGCAGGGACATGGAGATGAAGCTCAAGTCCACCAAGATCATACAGAATTGTGAAAGAGCCTTGAAAGACCATCTGATCTATTCCTGTGCCCAGTTCTTGTGTTCCTGTGTTTCAAACATACTTCACTAGTAACACTGAGAAGTCCCAAGGTCATGAAAAACTCGACAGGAAAACAATATTTTTCCTTGCTTCTTGCAACCTTGACACAACAATAAACCTCAACTTTTTACTGTGAAATCATTCATTTGATGCCACTGTTCAAACGTGATTGCTTTATAACTGTCTGTACAAGAGGCCCCTTGTTGGTGTGGGACACTCTTGTACCATTGCCAAACCAGCTGGCAACCACATTCACCTCAGTAAAACAGCCTTCAGGAAAGTCCAATAAACATTACATCCTTTGATCTCCAGGCCCAGCCAACAAAGAACCCGTTCCTACTTCTCAACAGAACTGCCAACCCAAACCACACTCTACCAGGCTGGATGGACACTTGCCAGGTGCCATAGCACCTAGGCACAACCAAAACTGACTGGCAACTTACGGTCCAGGAGATTCAGCTGTTGCTGAGTAAGGGTCAGTTTTGTTTGATGCTGAATGAAGTAATGAGGTGTAAGAAGTCAAAGTGACTGCTCAGAAACAAGGCTGATTTGGAAGCCCCACTAAGCATCTGAATCCAGGCCACAGTAGTGAAAGAACATTGTTTTAGCTGACGTTGCCACCTACAGAGGTAGCATATTTGCCAGCTGGACTTAAAGGTCTTCATCGAATTGAATTTGGATTCCAGTGGTTACAAGTCTGCAGAACTCTGCAAGCCAAAATTGACCACCACCTGGTGTTGCAAGCAAATAATAGCATGTTTGTACCAATAATAAGTGGCTTACAAATAAGAAATTTTGAATGACATAGAGCAAGTCAGTTATTTTTTTCAAATTACATTTCTTTCCTGTTTAAAAGATGGGTATCTTCCTGTAGACTCCTGCATCCTGTGACTCACCCTGCTCCCTGGATATAAGGGTTTCCATCTTAACAGGTCTCCAGCAAAAGGTATCTCAGTGGAGGGGTACCCAATACCTGGTCAGCATCTTTTGCCAACAACACTGTTAGTTATATAGTGTGTTGTTCGTATGTTGTCTATTACTGAGCTTTGGCAATACCATCCTGCAGGGGCACAGGCCATATGATAGTTTCGTTAGTTGGCACAATTCAATGACCAGGAACATGATTTGTATTTTCGTCAGCGGCAAAGCTCTCCCAACTTACGTAAGTGGCAGAAACGTCCATAAAGGCCAGGATCGCAGAGACAGGCTCCATAGATGCGGTGGCAATGCCCATTGTTGGCGCAGTTGCATTTCTTGTTGCAGGTCTTTCCATATAATCCCTTGGGGCACCCTAAAGAGGAAGGTAGTCAGTCTTGGGAATCAACCAGTTTTATTTTGAAACAAATAATGACAAACTTTTAACACAAATATGATCAGCCACACATGGAAGGTATGGGAAATGAGGGGAAGTGTGCAGATCATCCAGATTGGAGGCGCGAATGAGGGCAGGGTGTAGAAGTGATCGGAAAAGAATTACAACTATATCTCTTTCTCCCTCTCTGCCACCGAGTCTACTAAGAATTTCTGAAATTCTTCCACCATCTCCAAGAACTGAAAATTAATTTCCTTGGCACTGCACAAGTGACCCAAGAGAAAAACCATAGAGGAATTAAATAGAAGTGACTTTAAAAATTTCTTTCAGCAGTCTTGTTTATTAAACACAAAATATTGAAAATAGGGCAAATGGCTTCTCTATGGGCAGTTAAGATTGGATAATGAAGAAACTATACATTTTTCAATTGGCTGAGAGAGATGGGAATGTACCTGGAAACTGGGCCAATGACAGGACAGTAAGATCAGGATAGTTTGAGACAAGAGGTCTTGTGTTGAAACCTCTAAAAATACATCCAACCCAAGTTGGCAAGACTTTAGGGTTTCTGTTGAGGCCACAGTGAGATTAAAGTCACAACAGCACTTCATCTCTGGCCTCACCATTACTTTTGCTGTGGAGGTGAATGTTTATCACAATAAAGCATCTCATCAAACACAAGTCAGCGTACCATCCTCACACATCTCGCCACCAACTCCTGGAGGGCAGCGGCACTTCCCAGTCCGTGGATCGCATGTTGCACCATTCTTACACTTACACAGGAAGCTGCAATTTTTGCCAAATGTTCCCTCCGGGCAGGCTGGAAAAAAGGAAGAGAGAGGACAAAGAATTGCTCACTAAGAACAATGTGCACAATTGGGCAGAGAGAAACAAAAATAAAGGGCTGGAGACAATGTTTTATTTATTCACAGGATGTAGGCGTTAGTGGCAAGACCAACATTTTTATTGCCTAATAGTAAGAACAATAAATGTGCCAACACCGTATTAAACAGCGCCTGTTACATCTGGTTGGCACTTTATAACGTACACTCTGTTGACTTATTGGCTCAGTTGCCGGCCCTCTGGTCTGGGTTCAAGTTCCAATTCAGGATTTGACTGCACAGTCTAGACTGAAGCCACCAGTGGTGCATTGTTGCAGTCTGATAGGAATTAAAGAAATAAAAACGCATGAAGAAATAAATGTTTGCAATTATGCAACATCTTTCACAATGTCAGAACATCCCAAAGTATTTAACAGCTACTGAAATAGTAAAGTATCACTGTTGTAATCTGGGAAACACAGCAAATTCTTAAACAGGAATGGTAATTACTAAATAATCTGTTTCAACGATGCTCTCCGAGAGTTATATTTGCCACGACCTCAGCAAGAATTCAAGGTTTCTTTGAAATATTTGTCCTCAGGGACAGATCTGTACCTATCTGAGAGAGCTAAATGAAACAGAATTTTTCTTCTTTTCTTTCTCTTATCCATATTCTTCATATCTCAGATGTTTCATCTCTCTATCATTTGCATTCTCTCCCTCTTTCATTTTCTGCTCCTTTCTAAGTAACATTGGAAAGTGGACAGATGGATGTCAGGTTTAAGACTGGACCTGAGACACATTTGCCCTCAGAGAAATTGCAGAAAATAACATAATGTTATTTGGGCAAAAGAGTTTGACAAGAAGTGTCAGCATCCTGCTGCATTTACCAAAAAAAAAGAGGTGTTTCAACATTCTTCAATCTTAGGAGTTTGGACTCATAATCCTAAATAAATGGGGAAACACAGATCCGAACAGGAGCCAAACCAGTTCTGGTGTAATGAAATAATGCAGAGCAGCAAATATCTTTAATAGGGGAAATCTGTGTAGTCACAACCAACCAGTACCAGTCTCATGTCCAGTTCTTACTACTTCACGTTGCTGTGAACAAGACTTCTTCAAAGACACAGAGCTCAGTCTTGGATTAGTCATTATAGAAATTACTATTAGTTACAATGATATCCAGGCTTTACTTTTATTATTACCAGATGCATGTAATAATCAGTGAGTTCATTTATATCACTAGTTACAAGGAGAGTCTGAATATTATCATTATTACTATGAGCTATCAGTGCAATTTCAGTTAGTTAATATTAGTTACCAGAAGAATCAAAATTCCTCCCATCCCAATTTTCCAGCGATTGGCTGATTAGAAAGGAATATGTTGTTTGATTCAAAGAGTTCTGAGGAAGGGTCACTGGACGCAAAACATTAACTCTGAATTCTCTTCACCGATGCTGCCAGAACTGCGGAGTTTTGTCAGCAATTTCTGCTTCTGTGACATATTTGTTTGGTTGTTTGTAATGGGCAGAATACAGACTATGCTCAACCAGCCAAACCTTCCAAAACTCAAAACAAAACGTCAACTGTAAGATGTGATTCCATGGCTGGGAATTACTTGGTGAATAATTCCGAGTATGCTAATAGCTACACTAACAACCAATTTGAAGTAATCAGTCAAACTTGGTATATGGCTCATTTACACTCACTAGAATTGATATACATTTTAATGCAGGATCTCATTCCCTGAAAACAAAATATACACGTTTATGCCTTACACCTTTTTGAATTTCTTGAGTTTGAGGGGCCCACAGTTTTCCATTTCTTTCAATGCCTTGTCTAATCAATTTGCCAACCAATCAGTAGCCTATTTTCCTGTCTCCAATGGCCTGATGCTATTCTTATTTCTTATGTTTCTATCGAGTCCAATAAATATTGTAAACAACAGAGTAGAATTGTATAGAACTTTCCAACCCAAATACAGGCTATTTAGCTCAAGTGGTCTATGCTAGTGTTCATGTGATTAAACGTCATATGATCAGCAATAAAATGATCAGCTGTCACATGTTTAGAACGTCATATAGTTCAAAACTGTTGGGAACGCCTCAAATCAGAGCTGAAAACATCAATAAAATGCTACCGTGGTACAGCTGACATTGGTCTAATTGATAGAGATTGATTGCAACAATTGCACAACAACTCCATTATCATCACATCGCTGCCAAATTCAGATGTTCTTACAAAGAGTTGCAGCTTGGTATTTCCAGTCGCGATTCACACATGCCAGTGGTAGTGGTTGATACTTCTTTTGTCTCAATGAAATAGCATCTACTGTGTAGTGAATTACTTCTGGAATTCTAATTGCTGGAAATGTGCCTGTCGTGAGTCTGTGGTGAAGTAAATTCTCCCAAACATGCAACATGTCCTCACCAAAGTGATCGCTTGCTAGCCATCTTATAAACAGCATTCCTTGCATTAACTGTTTTAAACTCCTGGTGATCAATTTAACTTCTTCAGAGTAAGGCAGGCATTTCTTTTTTAAAATCTATTTTAAAAAGAATGAGCTTCCCGGATGGTACTGAGAATTTTCAGCCTCACTGATCCAGTGCAATCTTAATAGGTGGGGTGGTGAGACTTAACTAATCATAATTTTATACAAGAATTAGCTTTGTGGCCCGTGAAGTTGAGATGGGGATGACGATACTTGCCAGGAGTCCCCATTCTTAATTGCAAGCCAGTGACATTTGCTGAAATTGTGGATGTCAGATAGGAACAGGTTTGGCTTAGCTTGGGTTGCAATGCACTGCACTGTCGAATTCCCCACAAATGCAAGGTTTCCACAACAGGGAGGATACTGGAAGAAAGCTAAAACTCCAACTAGAGTTTGTATCTTCAAGAGAGGTCAGCAGTGAGGACTGTGGAAAATCACTTGTAGAATGCATTTATTTCCATTTCCTCTCATGGTTGGATCTCACTGTGCTTTGCAGTATCAGTTCAAGGTCTCCACTGCTCCTACCAAAATGACCACCTGCAAATCCAGAAGGTGGATGGAGTTCACCCTACGGAAAACCAGGCAAGAAACTCCAATCACGGACTCACTTCCAACAATCGTAGTGTCACTGCGAGTTGAGATTCCCAAGCACATTGAGGATAGCTTGAAGCTAAATTTGTCCTAAGGTTGTTTTTTTGATGGTGCCATGCAGCAGAATCATTTGTAGCTCCCACGTCTACAAACTAACATTGTCTGCACATGGCTCAAAAACACACTTTAATACAAATACTTGAGAGTTTACTTACTCTGGTTACACAAGATTCCAGTCCAACCTTCTGGGCAAATACATCCATCACGTGCTTCGTTGCAGATGCCACCATTCCTACAGTCCTCACACAACAAGCTGCAGTCATGTCCAAAGCTCCCGTCCCAGCACACTGTGAACAATATCCAGATAGTTATACAAGCAGATCCAATATACAACTCCAGCTGGATATTATAATATTGTATTATCCCTCCAGACCCAGTACAGAATTCCATCAGGACACTGTGGAAGCCTGCCATATCCAAATTACTGATCACCCTAAAACAATTCCATGAACATCTGTCTACTCCACCTAAATCATTACCATCTTCCAACTCATTCAGGTTTACTTCAGAACTGTCTCCATCCTTGCTCAACCATTGCGTGACCTTCTTCCTAACCCTGCAAATGAAATTCATCAAAACGCATCTGCCTACACTTCTCAACCCACTCTTTTGCCATCTCTCAAACACTCCAAAGCCACTTCATTATTAACCAGTGCTTTTTCTAACCCCGTTTTAATTCTGTCTCCATCTCCCTCCACAATCGTTCAATTACTATCTCTCAGCTGAAATCAACTCCCCAAGCATCCTCTGTCCCTTTAGACCATCCCCAATGCATTTAAAGTTATTCAGAAGCCAAACTGGTTCCCTTTTCCCTTCCTAAAATTCTAAAAGATAACCCATGCGAAGTCTGAAAATTAGTTACTTCTTTGCTTCTGGTGATCAAGAGAAATATTTGTACGAACAGTGACAAATGGTGGTCCTTCTGAGGAGTTCACAGATTCAGTTGCAGGTTCTTACATCCAAAATCCATTGCTGAATTCACATATTTTTTGGATGCATGTTAGTTTCAAATTATTTTGGAGGGTTTCTCGCCATGAGGCCTAGTGAGATCTCTCACCATTTCTTACCAAACCCACATCATTAACTATCTACCCCACACCTATGCTGCCCCTCTCATCTGGTTCTAGCTCCGTCCAACCAGGTGTCATTCCCAGAATATTTCAACACTTCCAGGATATCCTGGAATTAACCAGCATCCCCGGTGCTGTAGTGATTTCAAAAGGCTGCTGTGCAACCAAATAAGTGCTTTTAGTCCAGAGTTGCTCTGCACAGTTGCTGGCATCTAACCTGGACATGGGAGATAATGAAAACCTGCCAACACAACAGAACATCCTCTTCTCCCAGGAATGACAGTGGAGGTCACCACATTACAGCAGGCCATCCTGGCCCAAGGCTGTAACCCAGGCCATCCTGGCTCAAGGCTGTAACCCAGACCAGTGGCCCAAGGCTGTAACCCTGGCCAGTGAAGTCTCAGCTGTGATGTGGTGAGTTGCCCACCATTTGGCTCCTCACCTTTTAGCTGGAGTGGATCCTGATCCTGATCACTTCAAGGGACTGGTTTCGCAGGCTACCCTTGATACACTGAACTGGGACTCCTCAACAAAGGCTAATGTCCCTTGACTTGACTGAGCCCTGGTGATAAGCATGACGAGCTTCCTGGTTTTGTATCTGTGCTAAACAGCACGGCAATACAGCAGCACAATGGACCTGGTATCTCTGGCTGAGGGGGCCAAGCGCAAAAAGGCGAGGCAAGTAAATGCAAGGCATGAATGCTGTGAGCATTCAAGTAGTATCAGTGTGAGTGAACATAAGAATATAAAAAAAACTAGGAGCAGGAATGGGCAACTCAGCCCCTTGCGCCTGCACCATCTTTTGACATAATCACAGCTGATCTCATGATGAGCGTTATGACAGCAAGAGAACAGGCTGAAGATGCAGCCTGGTACAATTCATGAACTGGCTCCATTTTTCCCTGAGCACTCAGTATCCTTGCTGCAGTATTACAATGATAGCACCCTGGGTGTAGCATTGAAATGAAGAAGCGTCCTGTAAATGGATTGTATATGTGCCATGAGGGTCCTTAAAGGCTGGCACATGTCAATGATCATGGATTTGGGGTGCATGTGGCCAGTGCCATTGAGGGTTCCCTGAAATATTGATGCCCAGTGTCTAACATGGAGGATTTTTGGGGCAAGTAGCAAGCTGAAGTAGCCAGATACCCACTCTGACTTCCACATCGAGAATCTAGATATCTAGTCTTCTTCATGAGGAGGTGCTGGTGTTGGACTGAGGTAGACAGAGTCAGAAATCGCACAACACCAGGTTACAAAGGAGCAGTGCTCCAAAAGCTTGTGATTTCAAATAAACCTGTTGGACAATAACTTGGTGTCATGTGACTTCTGACTTATTTGCTTTATGCATTTGACAAGATAGGAAACTGCATATGAGGTGAGATGTGCAGTTAATAATGTTGTTAACAAGAAATAATTCCCATTAATGGGCAACTTGCCACTGTTGTGAGAATCTCGCCTCGATACTCAGCAGTTGCATAAACATTGCTACTCTCTGTGTTGAGATAGGCCTTGCTGGATTTCCTGTCAGATTCTGCTACAAACCTTGCCAATAGCCCACATTGTTAAAATCCCTATAAGATTCTGCCCCATATGTCAGACCAACAAATACACTCACAATACTCAGAAGCTCAGTCACAAACCTGCTATTGTGCTAAATCCTATCCAAAATTGATCAAAGCAGAAGTCCTGTACATTTATTACAAAGACATTAAGTATATACTGCCATATGTATTTGGGGACATAGTCATTAAAGCAACAGTTAATAGTTCACGAATTGCAGAAACACAAAAAAGATGAGCCAGGTATGGAAGGTTTGAGTTAGAAAGAAAGGCTGGATAAGCTGGGACTTTTTCCACTGGAACGTAGGAGGTTGAGAGACGACCTGATAGAAGTTTATAAAATAATGAGAGGTATAGATAGAGTTAATGAGGGTTGTCTTTTCCCTAGGAAGGTGATTTCAAGACTGAAAAGACATGAGGGGCAATTTTATTTTTAAAAAAACAGAGGGTGGATGTGGCTACAATTACAACTTTTAAAAGACATTTGGATAAGTACATGAATAGGAAAATTTGGAGGGATATGGGCCAGGAGCAGGCAGGTGGGACTAATTTAGTTTGGGATTATGTTTGGCATGGACTGGTTGCACCGAAAGGTCTGTTTCCGTGCTGTATGAGTCTTTGACTCTGCTACACATAATTTCGCAATCTTCAAAATATTAACATACATATGAGCTACTGAGCAGGTAATTGTTTCCTTCAAGAATTATTGCATTAGTAAAAAGCACTGATACCCACCCCTTGCAAAACTCAGATTGTCAGAGGAGTTTACATAGAATTCACAGCACTGACGATGGTCTCACCAAAGCTCTGTGACAGGGTGAATTCTCCTCGTGCTTCCCCTTCCCCAGTTTCTTCATTCTCCTCATCAAATAACTCGGTAAATTCTTCTCCATGGTAGAAGCTCACCTCAGGAATGTGTCTTCCAAATCCAGGCTGGCCACTGAGTGCCTCCACTGGGTCATCCAGAGCTGAAAAAGAGAAAAAAAGTCAAAATACACAAAACAAAGAGGTACATTTCAGAGACATCTTGTCAATTGCTCCTCCAATCCATCCTCAGAGAATCTCAACTCACTATTGTACATCTATTCCACAAGGAACTTCCAATAAAAGACAAAAGTTCTCATGGATAAAAATATAAAACAATGTTAGATGATTTATGCAAACATTTTTTAATACTTTACACATAGAGGAGTGCCATAGCAATGAATCTAAATCCCAAAGTTAAAAAAAAATCCAACACACAATTCTCATAACTGAATTACTTTCTGCATCAAATGTAAAAATAGTTTTCTCTTGAATGTGTCACCATTATTCTTTGGCACTGCTCTATTCCAAATATGAATCACCACTTTTTAAAGCAATTAAATCTAAGCTGCTTGTTCATCTTGCTTCTGCTGAGTTTGAATGCAAGTCACCTCGTTCAGTCTATGATTATGTTAAATATATTACTATAGTGCCATTCATCAAGATTCCTCTTCCCTACAGTTACATTTTCACTTGAAAGAACATGAGGAGATGATTCCTCTCCTTGGAACAGATTTCTGGTGGGGCTTGACTCTTTCTGCACTAGCTCTGACCCTATAATTACGTTGGGGATCATTTCATCTGCTTCATCAAAGAGTTTACTCTGCAAAGCTGAGAAAGAGGATGGCCAAAAGATCTTTGGAAGGTCCTTAAAAGGTGTAGAAGCACCCTATAAATTATACAAGCTACTCTCTTAAACACTTTACCCAAGACCAGTGCTTTTAGTCGATACATGCCTGTGAGCAACTAAACAGAAAGGAAGTCAGAACATCGAAAGACCATTAATTACTTGGTTATATTGTGATCAAGGATAACTACTTCATCCATCAAATTTAACATCTAGCAGTACACAAAGAGGTATTATTGAAAAAAATAAAGCATTCCCACTGACCCGGAGGGCTATATTTTCCCAGCCCCATGGAGATGGAATTGGGAGGCCACTGGTTGTGCGGAAGCGGCCAGAAAAGTGGAGTCATGCTTGGAATCATACACAGTACAAAGGAAGATGGTCGTGGTTGTTGGAGGTCAGTCATCTCAGCTCCAGGACATCTCTGAAGGAGTTCCTTGGGGTAGTGTTCTCGGCCCAACGATCTTCAGCTGCTTCATCAATGACCTTCCCTCCATCATGAGGTCAGAAGTGGAGATGTTTGCCGATGATTGCACAAAGTTTGGTATCATTTGCAACTCCTCAGGTACTGAAGCAGTCCATGTTCAATTGTAGAATATCTTGGACAGTTTTCAGCTTTGGACTGACAAGTAGCATTCATGCCACACAAGTGCCAGGCAATGACCATCTCCAATAAGAGAAATAATCTAACCATCAGTCATTGATATTCAATGGCATTATCATCACTGAATAACCCCCATCAACATCCTGGCACTTAACAAAACTGAACTAGCCATATAAACACAATGGCTATGAGAGCAGGTCAGGGCCTGCAAATGCTACAGCAAGTAATGCACCTCCTGACTCCCCAAAGCCTGTCCACTATCAACAAGGCACAAGTCAGGAGTGTGATGGAATACTCCCCACTTGCCTGGATGAGTGCAGCTCTAACATTCAAGAAGTTTTACATCTACCAGGTAACAGTAGCCGCCTTGATTAGCACTTCCATAAACATTCACTCCCTCCACAACTGACGCTCAGGAGCAACAGTGTATACCATCTACAAGATGCACTGCAGAAATTCACCAATGGTCCTTAGTAAGCACCTTCTAATCCAGGAGAACTACTATCTCAAGGACAAGGGCAGCAGTTGTATCACAACACCACCACCTGCAAGTTCTCCTCCAAGACATTCGCCATCCTGACATGGAAATACATCACTGTTCCTTCAGTGTTGCTGAGTCAAAATCCTGGAATTCCTTCCCTAATGGCATTGTGACTCAAACTGAACCAAATGCTCAGCAGCAGTTCAGGAAGGCAGCTCACCACCACTTTTTCCAAGGGGAATTAGGAATGGGCAATAAATGCTAGACCAGCCAGTGATGCTTACATCCCATGAATGACTAGAGAACAAATAAGGTAGAGGGGTGCTACATCAAGATAGCCTCTTGATGCATATCTCCTGCTGGTCAACTTTAGCAGGATCAGTCTGCCAACAGGATTGGGTGACTTCACCAAAGAATGCAGCCAATTAGGGTGTATAAAGCCTCTGTGAGGAGTGATTTGCATTACCACTAGAACGTTTACACCTACAGTGCTGACCACACTGCAAGCAGAGACCAGCAGCTCATTGCAGGCAGCAGTCCCCTGCAGCAATCCAGGACATATCAGAGTCAAAAGCTGCAGGACCCAATGAAAAGGGCACGTGAATGTATGGCCACAATTCTGGCTGCGTGCAATCCTGCAGAAGGGTTTCCTAATATCCTTACCACTGTCTGGAGTCTTCAGTTCAGCTTTCCCATATTGATTGGCAAGAATGCTTTCATGTTGAGGTGCTCCCCTGTCCATGTACCTGCCTCAGCAGCACCCACCTCTCCTAATGGCACTACTGAGACTTCAGAACTGCCAGCCCCTCTGCTTGAGGTTGTAATGTCTCAAGCTGCCTTCGACAGCCTGGTGGAGACAAACAGTAGGACTTCATCTCTTGGAAATTTCAATCACTGAGCTCACTGCAAAGTCAGCAGGAAAATACAGTCACAAGTGTTAACAAAACTTCAGTTCCACTAACTCTGATAGACTGATTTGGTCCAAGAGTCAAGTAATTTGATCTAATCACAGCTGATTTTAAATAGGACTTCACTCTACACGAAAATGCCTCCAGTAATGTTTTATTAAATTCTGCTTCTGTCCCTTAAGAGTTTTGGCTGTCACCCAGTGTTAATCCTTGGCAAATAAAGGCTTATGCAGAGCACATGAATTGTGGTTATTTTTGGTCAACTTTATGTGTTGAAGGATTCACACTGTATAAACAACCTCCCCAGAACGACAAACAGATTTTCAAACAATTTTCCACAAAATCCCCAGGAAGTATGTTATTATTATTATCAATTCCTGGTTAAACATGTATTCCCTTTCCATTGTCCTCAAAAGCATGCCTTAAATATTTGAATCTTAATAGACATCAGCTTCCTACGCTCTTGGAGTTCTACAAAACATTTAATTGCATTAAAAAACTGCTGAGGGGCTGACAACAGAAGTGGTTGAACCAAGTATTATTTCCGTGCGTACTGCTTATTCGACAGCTTTTCTTTGGCAAGGATTTCACATGAAGTCGAGATGGGCCGCTTTAGTGAAACAAATAACCTTTGATTTCATTAATATTAGACAGGTTCCGAAAGGACAGAACAGAGAGTAAAAAGTGGAACAGGCAAAGCTGTACTGGCAACAGCCTTGTTCTCTGCAGTCAAGAGCTCTGGCCAAAAATAACTAAAGTCAAGAGAGAGGTAAAAAAAAGAAATACCCAATACAACAGAGGTACAGGGCTAAGAAGCAGTAAGGACAGGGAGGTTAATAGAACTATGGGTAATAAGGAAGAGAAACCTTCCATGGGGAATATATATCGAAATAATATGTTGTGTTCTTGATTAATAAAAGTGGCATGGAGGAAGAGATTGCTTAGCAAACAGATTTGTTTGAAATGTGAGCTCCCCTCACCAATATTGCACGTTGAGAGGGTGACAGAGCTACACTTGGAGGTGATGGCAAAGAAGAATGAACTTGCATTTCAATAACATCGTTCTTATCCCCAAAGTATCTCAAAGGGCTGAGGGCTTACTTTTCAAAATATAGTTACTGTTGTTATGACAGAGAATGCAGTGGTCAACTTGCACACTGCAAGATCGCACAACTGCTCCACAGGAATGCCCAGAGAATAGGTTTTGGCTGAGGGAAAGCATTGGCATAAACATGGAAACATCCCTGTCCTTCTTTAAATATCACCACAGAATCTTTGATTTCTACCCAAGAGGACAGACAGGACCAAGGTTTAAGGTCTCACCCAAAAAACTGAACTTCCAATCGTGCAGCCTTCTCTCAGTCCTGTCATGGGAGTATCAGCATGGTTCACGCACTCTCTAAAGCGAAGTCTGAATCCATAACCCAGGTGTGAGAGTAACCATCACTGAGCCAAGCCATTGCTGAGGTTGGTATGGTTACAATCATAAATAAAGTACTTTCTCAGTTTACTATTGCAAACCAACACTGTTCAAAACAAAAGGCATTGGCAAATTCAATTTAGGTAACATCCCTGTTTCCCTGACAAGAGTTCATTAAGCCATCTGCATAGGATTAAGATAATCCTGTTGTTAATTTTACTAAGCTGGATTTCCTCAGCACAACTATAACGTTTTGGTTTCAAATAATTCACACAATTCTTCACAACTCCATCTATATACACCCTCAATACTGCCCTGTCAGGTTAGCTAGCTATCCTGGTCTGTATGGTTCAGTTACTCAACATGTAACCTTTATACATTAGGGAAGCCAATAGTCCAAACACAGCAAGGATTTTCCTGATCTCCAACAATAAAGTTCAGCAAAAAAAAAACAACCTCTCAGGAAAGATGATAACACTGGGTTATGCTGTTTGTTTTTCCACTTTTTGTATAAATTTTGGGATATCACTGGCTAGGACAGCATTTGTTGCCCACATCTAATTGCCCTTGAGATGATGGTAATCAGCTGTTTTCTTGAAATGCTGCAAACCATGTGGTGTAGATTTACCCACTGCGCTGTTATAGAGGGAGTTTTAACAACATAAAGATACAGTGATATTATTCTAAGTCAGGAGGGTGTGTGGCTTGAAGGGCAACTCACAGGTGGTGGCATTCCCATGTATCTGCTGCCCTTGACCTTTGAGGTGGTAGATGTAGGTGTACAAGATGCTAAGGAGACTTGTTGAGCTGTTGCAGTAGATTTTGTAGATGATACATGCTGCTGCTACTTGGATTGATGATGGAGGAAGTGAATATTGTAGGTGTTACATGGGGTACCAAACAAGTGGGCTGCTTTGTGTCAAGCTTCTGGAGTTTGTTGAAGCTGCTGATCCAGGCAAGTGGACAGAATTTAACCATGCCCCTGACTTGCGACTTGTAGTTGATGGAAAAGCTTTGAGGAGTCAGGAGGCGAGTTATCTGCCACAGAATTCACAGCCTCTTAATCTGCTGTTGTAGCCATAGTATTATAGCTGGTCCAATTCAATTTTTGCTAAGTGGTAACCTGCAGGATGTTGGTAATGTTGGATTCAGTGATAGAAATACCATTGGATGTCATGGCAGTAGTTGAATTCTCTTTTATTAGAGATGGTCATTTCTTGGTATTTGTGTGGCACGAATGCTACTTACCAAACTCAAGCCTGAATGTTGTCCAGGCCTTGCTGCAATTGGACACAGACTGCTTCAGCATCTGATGAGCCACAAATGGTAATGAACATTGTGCACAAAACAAACTTTCCCAAATCTGACCTTATGATGAAGCAGCTGAAGATATTTGGGTCCTTGGACACTACCCTGAAGAATTCCTGCAGTGATATCTTGTGGTTAGGATGGCTAGCCTTGAACAGCCGCAAACATTGGCCTTTTGTTAGAAGTTCCTTTAACTAGTGGAGGGCTCTCCCCCCGATTCCATTGACTTCAGGTCTACTAAGGATCTTTGATGCAACACTCAGTCAAAAGTTGCCTTAATGTCAAGAGCTGATGTCCTCCCTTCCCCTCTTGAGTTCAGCTGTTTTGTCCATGTTTAGGCCAAGGTTGTAATGAGGTCAAGAGCGGAACCTGGCTAAACCAAAGTAAGCATCAGTGAGCAGGTTATTGCTGAGCAAATGCCGCTTGATAGCATTGTCGACAAGACTTTCCATTGCTTTGCTGATGTTTGAGATTAGGGCCCCAACGTCACCCAATGGGAGTCCCATGCCCACACTTGCTGGCAGCAAGATAGGAGACAGAAGATGCTTTCCGGGGCACTGCTTCCTCCCAGTTAGCTGCCTCCATATGGACAAACCTGCAGGACAAACCACAGACTGCCAATTATGGGCCACAGTAACTCCACTGGCAGAGCTGGGCATAGCTGAAGCACACTGGTAACCACAAAGGCAGATGAAAATGTAAATGAAAAGTTATGAAGGCCAAAACTATTTGGCCCCTCGCAGGAGGTAAACTCCTTTGGAAGGATTGTTTGGGTCATGGGTGCGGCCTTTCTGGCCTGGGCTCCTGAAAGTAGGGGGTGAAGCCTCTGGCTTTTAAAGAACCCCAACCCCAGGGGGTCTACCACAGTTGAACTAGCAGCTTCTGAGCATGGAAGGGGTACCACCTCCTTGTATCAAAATGCTGGTGAGGCCACAAAATTGCCCCTTAGCTATTATAATTAGCTGTGGAGCATGTATTCAATCCTATTTCCAAATTATCCCTAGAAAGGATTCCCAGGGGTGGGAATACATTAGGGAGAAACACTGGCTTGGTTCACTCTGACTGTTTTTCCAGCCCCAATCTCTCCAATGTCCCTCCAAACCGGCCATATTGGGACCTAGAAAATTCAGCCTACTACCCCCGTCATGTGGCTCAGAACTTTAAGGGGAGGCGATGGTCTGAGTTCTGAGGAAGGATCACTGGACCCGAAATGTCAGCTTTGATTTCTCTCCACAGATGCTGCCAAGCCTGCTGAGCTTTTCCAGCAATTTCTGTATTTGTTTCTGATTTCCTGCATCCAAAATTCTTTCAGGTTTTATTTGGCCTAGTCAAATTATCATTTGACTATTAATCCAGACACTCAGCTAATGTTCTGGGGTCCTGGGTTCAAATCTCACCACGGTAGATAGTAGGATCTTAATTCAATAAAACAAAGACTGAAAATAAGAATCTACCGACGATCACGAAACCATTGCCGCATATTGGGAAAGACCAATCTGACTGACTTAAGTCCTTCAGGGAAGGAAATCTGCTATTCTCACCTGTCTGGCCTACATGTGACTCCAGACCCACAGCAATGTGGTTGACTTTAAACTGCCCTCTGAGGTGGTCTAGCAAGCCACTCAGTTCAAGGACAGCTAGGGCTAGGCAATAAATACCTGCCAGCTAGCAACACCCATGTTGCATGAGTGAATAAAAATAAAAGTGTCAAAAAGTTGTCTGATAATACTTCTGTAAAGGTCCACGAAATATTTCATTAGGTTCGTAGCAACAAATCATTTCACATTGTTAAAAACTATGGAACAATAGTTTAACACCTGCTTGGGATCTTCACAAGGCCAGATTGGGCTTGGACTGAAGTTATTGACACATTGAGTAATCAGCACATAACATCCGCTTTTTTGAATAAGTCTGACAAACCACCTAAACACCTCAAGGTGACCCCTGCTTTACAGACTGGGATATCAGCAATTCTGCAAGTGTGAAGTCATGTCGATGTAAGCATCAATGCATGACAGAAACATACGCGCACAGCTCTTCCGATCCTCCTCCAGCTTGTATCCAATGTTGCAGAAACACTGGAAAGAGCCAGCTGTGTTCTGGCAGGTGTGCTCGCAAATGTCATTCTCTGCGGTGCATTCATCAACATCTGGAAATAAAATGCAAAAAGATGTTGGTGTAGACGTCAGTAAAGTTTCCATTCATCACGCCAGCAATTTCAATTAGCTGTAATGAGAATAAGTAGTGATGCACTCAGTCATGGCAAAACCGCATTAATTATATCAAATGCTCATGTCGGTATTTCCTGGTTCCTAAAATCTCCAGACTTTTAAAATCTACATTTTGCTTTATTAATCAACAATTCTTGATTTAAACATAGAAACGTGAAAAATAGCAACAATCATGGCAGATCATCCAACTCAGTGTCCTGTTGCCGCTTTCTCCCCATAACCTTTGATCCCTTTAGCCCTAAGAACTATTTATCTTGTTATCAATCCCACACACTGCCATTTTATTGACATTCCACACAGTGGATCATGGCTCAGTGGAACTTCACCTAGAATGAATCCACTGCCATGGAGCAAAAACTGCACTGAACACTAACAAAAACCAAAGAGACTTCAGATGCTGGAAATCCACAAAAATCACCAGAGGCTTCTTGTTGCCATCCGCAAATTGACCTTGAGCTTCAGTTGCCTGCCACTTCAACACGCCACTGTGTTCCCAGGCCAACATCTCTGTCTCAGGCCTGCTGCAGTGCTCCAACGAAGCTCAGCGCAAGCTGGAAGAATAACATCTTATTTTCTACTTGGGAACACTGCAGCCTTCAGGACTCAACATCAAGTTCAATCATTTTGGAGCCCAAGCACCTTCTCCCATGTCCTTAGCCCAGCCCCAACACACCACGCCTTGTCATCATGTGGGCTGCTACCAAACAGACAACCTATTGTCAGCTACTAAGTAATCCCATTAGCAGACATTGATTCTCCCAGGCTGACCTTGACCCATTTCTTTGTCAGCCCAGCTGTTGTTCTCCCTCTCCCCCTCCCCACTCCACCAAACCCCCCGCCCCCACCCTCCTCCTTCTACCCCACACGTCCGACCAGGATTCATCTCCATCTAACATTTACACCCCATCCCCTCCCCTCTCTTGCTTATAGACCTACCTTTTCCTAGCTACAAATTAATTCAGAAGGGTCACTGGACCCCAAACGTTAACTCTGCTTTGTCTCCACAAATGCAGCCAGACCTGCTTAGTTTTCCTAGCAATTTCTGTTGGTTTAAAAAACTGCACTCATACTGGTGGGACACAGAGTAGTTTCCCTACTTGTGAAGTAGTTCCCTTGTCACATGTGCAATATACTATGCTCGTCCATGAATGTTGGTAAGGAATCCCATGTGATTAAATTGGCTGCTTTTTCTCCCATTGCAAAGCTGATGAATAGGACTGAAAGACCTTTCAGGTCCATTACAAGACCAGGGAACAAGATCTAATGAGATTTTAATACCTACAAAATGAGCTGGAAATGCTCAGCAGATCTGGCAACATTGAGGAGAGAAGAAACAGTGTAAAGATTTCAGGTCAATGAACAGTTTTTAAAGTAAGTCACTGACATGAAATTGGGCTGGAGTTTCATCCTCAAAATGAATAGCAGGAATTTGGAAAATTCCAAGCTTCACGCACCCACTTCACAAAGCACTGCTACAGAGGTGCGATTTTCATTGCTGAGGAGTGCCTTTTTTTTCCATTTGCGGGATAATGGCGTCACTGGACCAGCATTCATTGCCCAGAGGGCAGTCGAGAGTCAACCTCATTGCTGTGGGTCTGGAGACACATGTAGGCCAGACCAGGTAAGGATAATAAATTTCCTTCCCTAAAGGACATTAGTGAATCAGATGGGTTTTTCCAACAATTGAAAATGGATTCATGGTCATCATTAAATTCCTAATTCCAGATTTTTATTTTTTTTTTTTTTTTTAAATTCAAATTCCACCATCTTCCATGGCAGGATTCGAACTCAGGTCTTCAGAACATTACCTGGGTCTCTAGATTCACAGTCCTGTGATAATACCATTAGGCCATCACCTTCCCAGGAGGTGCATAGAGTTGGGCCAGGTGACCCTGGAAAATGTTCATATGCAACCACAGGGACTACCAGCTGCAGGAGTTTGCTTCCTTTACAACCTGCCTTAGCGCAGTGGCACTTCACCCCCATGTGAAATACGAAACAGAAAGGCCCTGCAACCCCCACTAGCCACACCCTTCACACTGAGGCACTATCAATGCCACCTCATGGTTCTAAATGTCTTCCATGACTTTTCATGCACCCATGCCAAGGAATGCATACCCAAACAAGCCCCATGGCCTCTCATACCAAGGTATGTATCTTCCTTGCCCATTTATCCACTATACACTGCACTGAAGCAATAAACCCAATTCAACAGGTGGATGTTTTAAAAAAAAGTTATAAAAAATTGATTTATTCAACACAACTTCCAATAAAGAAAGGTTGTGAAATAGAAATCAAACAGCCAGAACTGTCAATCAAGCAGGGGTTCAGGAGTTTCAGTTCTCCATTGGCCAAGCCTCTTTATGTAGTCTAACAGCCCAGACATCCATCAGATTTTTCAAACAGCTGTACCTCAGCTTGCTTGACAGCTTTTGCCATGTGACCTTTAGCAATTTCACAATGTTTCTTTATAAAAGGTTACGTGGTTTTGAACAAAGTCAAAAGGTCTGAATGAATCACTTTTTTAAAAAGCTTTTCTTTTATGCGTCCAACTGCCACTATAGGGTTCGCTGCTTCTATATAGTATAAAGTAGGTTATTGAGCATGGACGTGTCATAACTTGGTATTGGGGCAGGGGGTGATGAATGAAAGGACTTGTTTGGCAGGATGTGCTTTGGCATATGGGCATAAGGACTGTGGGGTTAAAAGGAGGGGCATACTTTAACGTGGGGACATGACAGTCTTGGGATGAGGGGAGGAGGGGCATACCTTGGCAAAGGGCACGAGGAGCCTGTTGTATGCGTGGGGGGAGCTGCTGTGTGGACGTACCATAAATTAGCAGGGATGCGCAAGGAAGATTTTTTTTTAAACAAACTTTTCAGAAAAGGTTCCCTCTGCAGGCTGTGATTATGTAGCGTCATATAAAGCCAAAGCAAATTATGATCAATAGACCACTTTTGAATTTTAGTCAGCGTTGTTACTGTTCACAGTGACTACTTATGGAATCCTTGCTAAGAGTTTGTGCATAAAGTACAAAAAACAAGAAAATGAATGATCAAATTGGCAGTGCTGGTTGAAACAGAAACATTGTTGAGGATATTCAGAGACGTCCCTGCTCTTCTTCAAGGAGGGTTATGGGAATTTTCAACGTTTACCTGAGCCAAGTGAGGACAATGTTTAACACTCATCTGAAAAGTGGCATATCCAATAATGTGGAACACCATCCTCTACTGCATTGACCAACGTACATTGTGTGGAGATTGAAACCCCAACCTCCCCAGTTCCAAAGACTAGAGTCAGCTGAGCCAAGCTAATAATTTTCTCTCAGGGGTCTTTTGTGGCTAATACACCACTGACAGCTCTTGCAAATTCACCTAGCATTAAATGCAGAACAGCCTCAGTCAATTTAGGTCCAAAATAAATCATTGAAGGTTAGTGCAGACCATTGAGGCACAAGAATGTGGATGACGAACTCAGAAAGAATAAGTTTGAGCTGGCAATGATGTAATGTGCATTGACCTCGTGAAGATACAACAAGATAGAGACGGTAAGATGAAACACTTGGAGGTTACAGAGGGTGTGGAATCACTGAGGTGCTCACAATAGATCTGAATGAGTTCAGAAAGTTAAAGAAGGCATTGGGTTCACAGAATAGTGACATGAGCTACCATGATCGTCTGAAGTTTTCATCAAGTTTGAAGGAATATCCCAGAGTTCATTCTTAAATTGCCTTAACTTTTTTTCACTGATTCTTTTAACTCTCTTCCAGAGAATGTATTGGATATTGTAGGTGGAGAGGCGTAAGTGGCTCATGTCTGCTGCACCAAGTGAGGAATGGGTCAGACTTCATGTACTAACAGGACATTTCTTCTCCATTCTCACATGGTCAGCAGAACAAAGAAGAAAAAGTAAAAGCATAGCAACACTAGTTTTAATGGAAAAGAGAGAGAGAGAGAGAGAAAGACTGGAGAATAAAGCTATGAAAAATAATGTTTTTCTTTTGCAAACAATAAAGTTTGGAGCTGGAGGAACACAGCAGGAAATGGTTTCTGAAGAAGGGTCCCGACCTGAAACGTCAGCTTTCCTGCTCCTCTGATGCTGCCTGGCCTGCTGTGTTCCTCCAGCTCCACACTTTATTATCTCTGACTCCAGCATCTGCAGTTCTTGCTATCTCAGTTTTTCTTGTTGCACTTGGCCACAAAAACTGTGCCTTCTCTAATGGATACTAAGTTGGAATCCAGTCACCTTATTTACGGAAGCAAGATGACAATTCTCACCATCACATGTACAGCCATCCAGACTGAGCCGATAGCCTGCATGACAACCACACTCATATCCACCAGGTGTATTGAAACAATCCTGTTCACAGCAGCCAGTACCAACGTCACACTCGTCCACATCTGCATGAGAACAAGACAAATTCCAATCAGATTATTCCACATTTGACACTGCTGGTTATTAGTTAATTGACAGCCAGAACCTAGGTTTAAATTCAATTCATGGCAGACCTACCTAGAATGTTTCCAGCCTGAATAATTTATTCAGAGTTCCTTGAACTTATGTTTACTGATGCCCATTGCATTTGATTCACACTCAGCAGATCATTCATTCATCAAACCATAGTCCCAAACCCCTCCCTTCCCATATCAGGCATGATACAGCTAGCAACCAACTCTTAGCATATTCCAAAGCTTGATAGTGTTGTTCTTCTGGTATCTTCAGAAATTTTCTGAAGAAGGGTCCAGACCCGAAACGTCAGCTTTCCTGCTCCTCTGATGCTGCTTGGCCTGCTGTGTTCATCCAGCTCTACACCTTGTTATCTCAGATTCTCCAGCATTGGCAGTTCCCACTATCTTTAAACTCATGAATTTGGTTTACTTAATAATGTTGTATGATTTAAACAACTTGAAAAAAAAATCAACATGCAGTTCTGTAGCATTGTATATAACATGAGGATGTCCCAGAGCATTTTCACCCAATAAACTACTGCCTTTGGAATGTGGTCTCTACTGTAATGTATTTATAAATAAGTCATTGCTTTTTATCACTGAATGATGAATAACTTTAATAGCAGCCAGATCACACAATTGGTGTCAACAATTACGTGGGCTGAAAAATTCCTCAGAGTTGCCCCTATTGTTTGATGACTCATGAGGAGTGCAGAAGAGTAAAGTTAACATGAATTTACCCTGTGAAAGTGGAAGCAATTTCAAGCAACTTCCTGCCATGATTTTGACTATGAATTGAGTTATCTTGCACCGAGCTTAAAATCCAGAATGATATTCAGTTCATTGATTCTCTGCATATTTCACAATCTGAACAATTACCTGGAATACTTGACTCAAAACTTTTACTAAACTTTATATAAATGGTATTTCATAATTCATTTTCACTTCATACCAGGCACACTACAAACTGCAGAAGTGTGCGAAGGGATCACAGAGCTTTGTATCAATGGGGATTATAACTTGTGTGCCACATGATATAAATTATACTTGGTACAAACATTGATATTGCAGGGGAATGTATATCTGCACAGATATGGGAATGGGTATTGCTAAATGCGCAGTTTTGGTATCTGCATTGACACAGGAATGGCTACTGGGATTGATACACCAGACTTCAACTCTAAATTACAATAATAAGGGAAAGAAAAATAGGAAAAAGTGGAAGTGGGTACAGTCTGGGGAAAGAATTAAATCTCACTGATGTAGAATCATGGAACACTGGGGAGTGTCAATCCTGCTTTTTTTTAAATAAACCAGATTTTCCTTCCACCACAGCTGTGTTTTATTCATTGGTGTCTAGTGAAGCTCAGGCTTGCTGCAGTGTTTCAGCGAAGCTCAGCGTAAGCTGGAAGAACAACACTTCAGTTTCCACTTGAGGACTCTGCAGCCCTCCAGACTCAATATCAAGTTCAATAATTTTAGGGCCTAAACTCTCCCATGTCCTAGACCCCCACCCCACACACCAGGTCTTGTTACCACATAGCCTGCCATTACACACTACCGATTGTTAGTCACTAACAGTCCCCATTTACAGCTATTTAGCCTCCTAGCCAGATCGTTATCAACTCTTTTGACTGTCCAACTGTTCTTCTCTCTCTTTTGGCTCTATCCCCACCTATCTCCTGCACAAACAAAAACAGAATTTGCTGGGAAAGCCTAGCAAGTCTGGCAGCATCTATGAAGAGAAATCAGAATTAACATTTCCAGTCTGGTGACCCTTCCTCAGAAGCTTCTGCAGAATCTTCTGCATGTACTTCCAAACATCCAAAAACAGGACTGCACGAGCCGACCTAATGTTTCAGCCTGCTTCTGCCCTAAAGAACTCATCTCTTCCTACCTTGGCTCAGTCTTGTTCCCCTAGTCCAGTCCCTGCTCACATACATCTGTGATTCCTCTGACAATTTATGCCAGTTTCAAAACTTCCAGTTTGCAGGCTCCAGCCACATCCTCTTTACACGGACGTGCAATCCTTTATGCACCCATCCCCCACCAGGAGGGTCTCAGGGCTCTGCTTCTTCTTGGAGCAAAAGCCTGAACTGTCCCCACCCACCACCACCCTCACAAGGTAGTCCTCACCCTCAACAACTTCTCTTTTAATTCCTCTCATTTTCTTCAGGTCAGAGGAGTGGCCATGGGTACACGCATGGGCCCCAGTTATGCCTGTCTCTTCATGGGGTACGTGGAACATTCCTTGTTCCAGTCCTATTCCAGCCCCCACCCACAACTTTCACTCCAAGATATCAATGATGTCGTCGGTGCTGCTTCCCTCTCTCTCGTCCAAAATTGGAAAGGTTCATCAATTTCGCTTCCGATTTCCACCCTGCCCTCACTTTCACCTGGTCTGTCTCTGATTCCTCCCTTCCCTTTGTTGACATCTGTATTTCCATTTCTGGGTATAGGCTGGCCACTAATATCCATTATAAACCCACTGACTCCCACAGCTACCTGGACTATACATCCTCACACCCTGCTTCCTGTAAAGACTCAATCCCATTCTCTCAGTTCCTCCGATGAGGCCAAGTTCATAAAGGGAGCCTCCGAAATGTCCACCTTCTTCCTCAACCGAGGATTCCCCAGGACCGTTGTCGACAGGGCCCCCTCAACCAGGTCTGACCTATCTCCCGCACCTCTGCCCTCACCCCGCCTTCCCTCCCACAACAGCAAAAGGACTCCCCTTGTCCTTACCTACCATCCCACCAGCATCCAGATCCAGAAGATCATCAGACACCTTTTCCACCATCTCCAACAAAGTGCCACCACCAGACATATGTCCCCCTCCCCTGTCTGCCTTCCGCAGGGACTGTTCCCTCCAGGACACCCTGGTCCACTCTTCCTTCACTCCCAACACACTGCCCAACAGCCACACAGGACCTTCTCCTACAACCACCGAAGGTGTAACACCTGCAACAAAAACAAAGTTGCTGGAAAAGCTCAGCAGGTCTGGCAGCATCTGTGAAGGAGAAAACAGAGTTAACGTTTCGGGTCTGGTGACCCTTCCTCAGAACTGATGGTGGCTGGGAAAACGTCAGTTTATATGCAGAAAATAGGGAGGTGGGTGGAGTAGGGAGTAAACGATAGGATAGAGCCCAAAGAGAGAGAAAGACAGTTGGACAGGCAAAGGATTTGCTAATGATCAGGCTGCGAGGGTGAATAGATGTTAATGGGGACTGTTAGTGACTAACAACAGGGGGTGTGTAATGGCAGGCTATGTGGTAACAAGGCCTGGTGTGTGGGGTAGGGGGCTGGGACATGGGAGAGTTTAGGCCCTAAAATTATTGAACTCAATATTGAACCCGGACGGCTGTAGGGTCCCAAGCGGAAAATGAGGTGTTGTTCCTCCAGCTTGCGTTGGGCTTCACTGGAAGACTGCAGCAAGCCAGAGATGGAGATGTTGGGCCAGGGAGCAGGGTGGTGCATTAAAGTGGCAGACAACTGGTAGTTCAGGGTCTTTATTGTGAGCAGAATGTTCTGCGAAGTGGTCGCCAAGTCTACACTTCTTTTCCCCAGTGTAGAGGAGACCACATTGTGAGCAGCAAATGCAGTAGAACTAGATTGTGGGAAGTGCAGGTGATGTGTTGCTTCACCTGGAAGGTATGTTTGGGCCCTTGGATACTGGGAAGGGAGGAGGTAAATGGGCAGGTGTTGCATCTTCGCCGGTTACAGGAGAAGGTGCCGTAGGGCTGTGGGGAGGTGTTGGGGTTGAAGGAAGTACGGACCAGGGTGTCCCAGAGGCAACGGTCCCTGCGGAAGGTGGACATAGGAGGGGAGGGAAATGTGTGACTGGTGGTGGCATCTCGCTGGAGGTGGCGGAAATGGCATCTGATGATCTTCTGGATCTGGATGCTGGTGGGATAGTAGGTGAGGACAAGGGGAACCCTATCGCTGTTGCGGGAGGGAAGAGAAGGGGTGAGGACGAAAGTGTGGGAGATGGGTCGGACCTGGTTGAGGGCCCTGTCAACAATGGAGGTGGGGAATCCTCAGTTGAGGAAGAAGGTGGACATTTCAGAGGCTCCCTTGTCAAAGCTGACCTCAATTGAACATATACGACAGAGACGGAGGAACTGAGAGAATCGGATGGTGTCTTTACAGGAAGTGGGGTTTGAGGATGTATAGTCCAGGTACTGTGGGAGTCAGTGGGTTTGTAATGGATATTAGTGGCCAGTCTATCCCCAGAAATGGAAACAGAGATGTCAAGGAAGGGAGGGGAGGAGTCAGAGATAGACCAGGTGAAACTGAGGGCAGGGTGGAAATTGAAAGCGAAATTGATGAAGTTTTCCAATTCCAGACAAGAGAAGGAAGCAGCACAGATGATATCATCGATGTATCGGAGAAAGAGTTGTGGGTGGGGGCCAGAATAGGACTGGAACAAGGAAAGTTCCACATACCCCATGAAGACACAGGCATAACTAGGGCCCATGTGGGTACCCATGGCAACCCCTCTTACCTAAAGACAATGAGAGGAGTTGAAAGAGAAGTTGTTGAGGGTGAGGACAAGCTCAGCCAAGCAGAGGAGGGTAGTAGTGGGTAGGGATGGTTCAGGTCTTCGCTCCAGGAAGAAGTGGAGAGCCCTAAGACCCTCCTGGTGGGGAATGGACGTGTAAAGGTGCAACACCTGTCCATTTCCCTCCTCCCTCCCCAGTATCCAAGGGCACAAACATACCTCCCAGGTGAAGCAGCACTTTACCTGCACTTCACACAATCTAGTCTACTGCATTTGCTTCTCACAATGTGGTCTCCTCTACACCTGCCCGCAAAAAAAGACCTTGAACTTCCAGTTCCCTGCCACTTTAAAACCCCACCCTGTTCCCAGCCCGACATCTCTGTCTCAGGCTCGCTGCAGTGTTCCAGCGAAGCTCAGCGCAAGCTGGAAGAACAACACTTCATTTTCCACCTGGGGACCCTGTTGCCCTCCGGATTCAATATCAAGTTCAATAATTTTAGGGCCTCAACTCTCCCATGTCCTAGGCCCCCACCCCACACACCAGGCCTTGTTATCACAGTCTGACATTACACACTGCCTATTGTTAGTCACTAACAGTCTCCATTAAAAGCTATTCACCCTCCTAGCCAGATTGTTATCCACTCCTTTGTCTGTCCAACTGTTCTTCTCTCTCTTTGGGCTCTATCCCCATTTATTGTTTACTCCTGACCTCCTTCCCCACCCTGTCTTCTACATAGAAACCAACATTTTCCTACCTACCAATAAGTTCTCAGGAAGAGTCACCAGACCCGAAACGTTAACCGATTTCGCTTCACACAGATGCTACCAGACCTGCTGAGCTTTTCCAGCAATTTCTGTTTTTGTTTCTAGTGAGCCTCTGTTTGTTTTATACAGAACTCTGCATAATTTCACAAATCTTTGTGTTGCAGAGTACTGGAAGTGCTCAGAAACACACAGATATATTGAGACTGGTGTGCAATTTCAAGCAGTGCATAAACATGTAACCTAATCACATTTGCAACGTTCTCCTCTGGGAACCACCAGTCTAACAAGAGTGAATACAGCAATAAACTGCAAATGAGGCTATTAATCACTGAGCTAATAAAGCACAAAAAGAAACAACAAACAGTCATCTTAATGCTTGCCATCACTGAATTCTGTTCATTAAATAAGACTTCTTAGTTTTTGGACGGCCCGTCACGTGAACTTTAAAAGTTAGCAACAGTCAAATACTTGACATGCAAAAATAGTAGACTCGCCCACTTTAAGGGCATTTAAATGGTCATTGGATAAACATATGGATGATAATGGAATAGTTTAGGTTAGATGGGCTTCAGATTGGTTTCACAGGTCGGCGCAACATCGAGGGCCGAAGGGCCTGTACTGCGCTGTAATGTTCTATGTTCTATGTTCTATGGGGTAGGTCACCTCTGAAACTGATTTCTTTTCCCCTCAGCTGACATTCATGTTGATGTATTTTCTAGCATGGACCATTAGACAGTAATCAAAAGTATGGTCATGGTTGTGTTACTGGGCTAATAGGAAAGTGAGTTCAGATCCCATGCAGAATTTTCAGAAAGTGAATTCACTTAGTTTTAAAATCATAAATAAAAGGTATTACCGAGGTTTTGATTGTTACAAAAATGCATTCAATAATTTAGGCAAGTTGCCACCCTTTCCTTGTTTGCCCTATATGTGACCCCAGACTCCTGCCATTACGACGGGAATGAGAAGTGAGTGATAAATGATAACCTTTCCAGAAATACTCATACTGCAGGGCTGATCTTATAAGATCCTTTCTGATATTTCCTTCCACAACCCAGTGATAAACAATTTATCATATAATGATTTCCCCGTACGGTAATTAACAGCGAACAGCCTACAGTTACACTTGGCTTTCTTGTTGTGTATGGTTCGGTCCTGTCTACTTACCAAGTTAGTTATATGGCAAGGTCCCAATGCGAAAATTCTAACAGGGTTTAATTATCATTCCTACTTTCAATAGTTGATACAAGTGACCAGTGTGGTGAGCAGGAACTGAGTTCATAACAAGGAAATGTGATTTGTCAAAGAGATTGCTTGCTGCTTTTGTCAATGCAGATCTTTGTATTAAAAATGTTCATTTTGGAGAAAGACAGGTGCACATCTCCATTTCATGTCCAATCAGAATCAACCATCTACATATCTGGTATGTAGGTGGTTTAAAGCAAAACATTTATCCCACAAGAATGCACATTAGCCCCAACTTCAGAACAGTGCACTTTATTCCACTAAAATAACATTCCCACATCAACCATCCTGTCGTGTTTCTGAGACCAGTGTTATTGCAGTGCCAAAATGTCTCCTAAATTGTGGGCAGGTTGATGCTGTGCACCAAAAGATCAATATTAATTGAATTGAACTTATCCAAAATAGTTCCATACAGGTGAGAGGGAGACTCTCACCTGATCAGACAGGATTGAATTCAAAACCCAGGTACCAGAGGGAAGGATGAATGTCTCACTCTACTTTTGGACACAGGGTCAGACATCTCTGACAATCACAGCAGCCTCACAACCTCTGAAGACCTCCCTTTGCACTGTCCCAGCAAACACTCCCAGGACAAGATGCAGCTCAGGTTAGGCACAAGTTCCATAGCCCCAGCAGCAGCAAAAGCCTGAACTGAGACTACAGCGGGCCCCAGGTTCTAAGTCCTGGAGCCCATGGCCAAGTTCGTGGGTCTTCTCAGCAGGATGGGATAATGATGCCTGAGGAGGATGGGGTCTTAATGAAGAGACCTGGGCTGGGGCAAAGTGACACTACTCATGGTGATCAGCTGTTGAGAACAAGCATGAGTTTTTGAAAAGGGATTCCTTGAGGAACACACCCCTCCTCCTACAGCTTTGAGATCCCTGCAGGGTGATTATCAGTCATTACCCCATTCCCAACTGTTGTACTACTTCTGCCAGTCTCAAAATACCTGCCTACTCAAGGGCTTCAGTTGGGGTAAGGGTAGGCTGACTGCCCCAGGCGTCTCAATGCCCTGGCAAAGTTGGAGACAGATCAGGCCAGGTGGGAATTTTACGTGTTTCCTTGCCTGCATACATGCTAGTGGGGGAAACTGTAAAACTCTGCCCTTTCAGTAATATTGATAAACCATAACTTGTCACCTCACCTTCAAAAAGCCTATTTATTTGCTACAGACTTGAGATTTTAAGATGCCAATTTATAATTAATTGAGAAATCCATTAGTGTTGATGTATATGAACAAGACCCAACAGGGACTGAAAGAAACTACTGATGGTCAGGCCTACCTACGCAAGTCTTCTGATCAGCATCCAGGTGAAAGCCTTGATTACAGCTACAGAGTGGACCACTCGTTGTGTGGCGACAGTGATGGGAACATCCTCCATTGTTTAATTCACAACTGTTGACGATCTCCATCTCAATCCCTGAAAAATGAAGTGTTCAGACACTTTTACTAGGCCTTTCAAACATGTTTCATGCTTTCTCTATTCTAGTGGCTCCAATTGCAATGTCACAAATAAACCTGCAGGACTTGTCAAGCATGTCCAAGCGAGCGGCGAATGAAAGGTGAACAATATTTACAAAGGAGCACATGATCTGCCCACTGTTTGAGTCAATACTTACCCTTCAATCAACATTATTAAAACTGACCATGCAGTCATTATGTCCTGGTGTTGTTGTGCAAGATTTGGTTGTCGTGTTTACCTACAACAGTAGTGAGGCAAGAGTTACACTCAGGGAGCAAGAAACAGAGGTTATGACTGTTTCCAGGTTCTAAATCTAAAGTCTTTCAATGTGATTTTTTACAGGGGGTATCCCCTAAATGTAGCCTGGAGACAGTCATGTCACCTTTAAAGCTGGAAGGCCAAGGTAGGTGAGGGAAAGAGCACTTCAAGATGGTGGGGTATTTTGCCTCATAAACACTCCCAATGCACTGTCCAATCAAACATTCTCAGGCTTTGTACAGAATATCTTTGATATGGAATAAAGCTTCCCCTGTACTACCTCATCAATTACTCTCGCAGCAGATGCAGCAGGGAGTAGATATCAGGTAAATTTCCCCTGACATGGTGGCACAGTGGTTAGCACTGCTGCCTCACAGCGCCAGGGATCTGGGTTCGATTCCAGCCTCAGGTGACTATCTGTGTGGAGTTTGCACATTCTCCCAGTGTCTGCGTGGGTTTTCTCTGGGTGCTCTGGTTTCCTCCCACAGTCCAAAGATGTGTAGGTTAGGTGGATTGGCCATGCTAAATTGCCTGTAGTGTTCAGGGAGGTAGAGGGTGTATATTAGGTGGGTCATAGGGGGATGGATCTGGGTGGGATGCTCTGAGGCTCGGTGTGGACTTGTTGGGCCAAAGGGCCTGTTTCCACACTGTAGGGATTCTAATACACTGCCAAACAATAGATTCCCTGGTCAGGCACAGTAAGGGTTAGATTCTGTGTTGTCTCAGCTTTATTTTACACAGGCCCATTGCTGCCAACAAATAATGGAGACATTCAGCTCTTTGGCCTGTTTTGGATTTCAATTCCATCCTCTCCAGATAAAATGGCACAGGCGAGACTGCCCAGCTCTCAATAAAATATATTCATTGTGCCTTTAGAAGTTCTCACAGCTGCTTTTATTGCATACTGCATCATTCCTTCGTGACTCCTAAATACAGAACTGACATTCTGCCCTCTTAATATAAAATACCGACTTACAATAAATCCTTGTGTATACAGGGAACTTATTACTTTAATTTCTATCTTTCTGTACAAATTGTTCTTCTGTGAGATATAACAGGAGTTTTGCATGATGGTATTTATTGCCTTTGAGCGAATTCTACTCAGGAGCCCAAAATGAGTATTAAGAGCCTGTTAGTTGGCTCTGTATGATGAACTTTATCCTGATATTTCTCTTACTGCTGTCTGCTCTGCAGTAATATGAAGGACTCAACAGGTTAACTTACGGTAGCAATGCTTCCCATCAGCACCTAGCTCATAGCCTGCATTACAGACACAGGAAAATGTTCCACGCATGTTCAGACATCCATGTGAACAATCAGCTGATCCAATCATGCATTCATCAATATCTAGGGAGACAGAAAGACATTAATCAACAAGCTAGTGTATAATAATGGCAATAAAGTTCATTAATCAAGCAGTAGTTTGACTTTAAAATTCTAATCCTGGTGCTCGTACAATGCGGTCTCATCCCTCCCTATTTATGAAATCTCATCTAGATCTATAATTCTTTTGAGATCTCAGTGCTCCTTCACTTCTGGCCTCTTGCATATCTCCTGTTTCTTTCTCTCTACTATTGGCTGCTTTGCCTTCAAATATCTGCACCCTAAACTATGGAATTATTTACTGAAAGCTCTCTGATTCTTGACCACGCTATTCTCGTTTGAGACACTTCTTTAAACTTGTCTTGTTAATTAAGCATTTGGTCACTTGTTTTAATGTATCCTTATCTGCAATATCATCAATTTTTCTTTGCCAGAACTCCTGTGAGCCACTGTGGGATCTTTTATTATGTTAGAAGCTTGATATAAATGTAGGTAGGTGTAGTAATGATCACTATACCATTGGAAGGATTTATGTCATCCGCTGAGTGCAGTGTCAGACAACTGGAAGGGATGATGATCTGAATGCATAAATGTGCTGCTTGATATGTCCATGAATTTTCAACATGGGCAGGATGCTGACAAGGTTCCCAGTTGGTAACGTGTCCTCAGGTCCTGCAGATCCCCAATACAGGCAATCAACTGAACATTTTCAAGGCGATTGATCCAGGTTACTTGTTCAGAATGAGAAGAATCAAAAAAATTTGGGTTCACCACTGATTTCATGGTCCAAGCAACTGCATACGCTACATCGATGACTGTATCAGCACTGCCTCATGCTCCTACAAGGAGCTGGAACAGGTTATCAATTTTACTAACACCTTTCATCCCAACCTCATATTCAGCTGGACCATCTCTGAATATTCCCTCTCCTTCCTGGACCTCTCCGTTTCAATCTCTGATGATCACCTCATAACCAACATCTATTTCAAGCCCACTGACTTCCACAGCTACATGGACTACACCTCTTCTCACCCACCTTCCTGCAAAATGTGATCCCTTACTCCCAATTCCTCTGCCTCTGCCGCTTCTGCTCCTAAGATGGGGCGTTCCACTGCTTAACATCTCAGATGTCCTCTTATTTCAAGAACTGCAACATTCCCCTTCAATAATCGAAAATATCCTCAAACACATCTCTCGTGTCTCCCACATCTCTGCCCTCACATCCCCTCCCCCCAACAAAAACAAAAATAAATACAGAATCCTTCTTGTCCTCACATATCACCACCAACCTCCGCATCCAACGTATCATTCTCTGCCACAACCAAAGAGATATTTCCCTCCCTACCCCATCTGCCTTTCATAGGGACCACTCTCTCCGCGACTCCCTCATCCGCTCCACACTCCCCCCTAACCCCACCACCCCCCGGTACCTTTCCCTGCAACCACAGGAAGTGCTACACCTGCCCCTATATGTCCCCCCTCACCTCCATTCAAGGCAAAAACCAAATCTTCAACATCAGACATGGGTTCACCTGCACATCCATCAACTTGGTCTACTGCATCTGCTGCACCCAATGCGGCCTCCTCTACATCAGTGAGACCAAGCAGAGACTTGGACACCGTTTTGTAGAGCATCTGTGCTCTGTTCGCGACAAACAACACCACCATCTAGTCGTGAACCACTTCAACTCTGCCTTCCACTCCCTGGGTGACATGTCCAATCTGGGCCTCCTCCAGTGTCACAATGACACCACCCACAAACTGGAGGAGCAGCACCTCATATTCTGCCTTGGGAGCCTACAGCCCGATGGCCTAAATGTGAATTTTACCAGTTTCAAAATCTGCCCACACCCGGCCTCATCCCATGACCAACCCTCCCTCTCATCCCCGCCTTCTTGACCTGACACAGCCTGTCCATTTTCTTTCCCACCTATCCGCTCCTCCCACCTCACTCACCAATCCCCACCACTCCCTACCTGCACTCACCTATCACCATCCCACCTACCTTCCCCAGCCCCACACTTCCTCTCTCTATTTATTTCTGAGCTCCCCTCCCCATTTCTGAAAAAGAGTCCCAATCCGAAACATCAGCTTTCCTGTTCCTCTGATGCGGCCTGGCCTGCTGTGTTCTTCCAGCTCCACACTGTGTTATCTCTGCATCCTTTAAAATCTTGTGAATTCCCCCAATTTTGTTCCTAAGGCCAGTAACTGTTGCCCATCTCTACTTGCCCTTGAGAATGTCAGTGAACCATCTTCTCGAGGTGTTTCCAACTGTGTGGTGAGCGTACGGTCACATTGCTATGGTTGATTAGGAGCTCCAGGATTTGATCCAGTGATAATGAAATCATGATGATACATGTTCAACAGGTTGGTATGGACTGGAGGCAGATTGGAATGTGGTGGTACACCTGTTGCCCTTGTCCTGGCTGGGTGGAGCTTGCAGGAAGGGACATTGTGTCACTCATTGGGAAGGTGATTCATTCTCACCCAGAACTTTATCTCACAGCATGACCTCCTGTGGAAAGATATAGAACATGGGATACAAACTACGGTGTGGAAGGTACAAAAATTCCCAGGATTCATGGCAATCAACACCAAATCAGTTGGCAAGTTCCATTTTTTCCACTGGGTTTTCTGGGACATGGTAAATAGAGATTGCACTCTCCATTTGGGGCCTAGTACAGATTGTTACCACTCTCTCTGGCTGTGCTTTGAAGTTGATGTCTGTCTGTAGCATGGGTTACAGAGCAATCCCGATAATCATGCTAGACACATGAGAGATAACACATTTACCTTCACATCCTTTGGCATCATTAGCCAATCTGTATCCTGGGTGACACTCACACTTGACAATGCCATGGTGGTTATGGCATTTGTGCATACAGCCACCATTCTTATCTGCACATGGATTCTTCACTGTAGAGACAAAAGAGTACATAAAGTAGGGCCAAAGTTTTATATTACCTTCAGGATGCAAAAGGCTTCTCCTTAAGTTGCGATTTTCTAGTCATTATAGCAACGTCAGCCCAGAGTCTAGTCTGTGTGTGACCCTGTACTGGAATTGTTTGTAGGCCAAAACTGAACCTGTTGTCTCCCACCAGCCAGCCACACACAAACACTTCCACCAGGTGGCCCTGGAGAGCTGTCAGAACTGGGGATATTTGATATTTTTCCTCTTTCTCCAGAAGAGGAGGGGACTACGGTAGAGCCCTGTCACTGTGCTGATGCAAAGTTTGACAATTGATAGCAAGTTTGAACTGCCAGACTTCTTGTTAACATATTATTCCCTTTTGTTGTAATAATTCATACACTCAAAAGGGGTAGATTTTACACTGGGCTTGTACTGGGACTCAGCCTTGTCTGCCCGATCAGCCTGTGTTTGAACCGAGAATGAATCAATGGAAGTTAGTCCTCAGGCTTCATCAGCACCACGATCAATATTGACTGCCTGATTCACCGATAAATCACAGGAGGGATACTGCAGGCTAGGCAACCTGCCTGGCTCCACTGGGACATCTCTTAAAAAAAAAAAAAATAGACAATTAACTACTTGTAATTTTTGTTGGCAGATGCAGGACAGCTGAAATATTCTGAGAGTGATAAGCACAGGCTGCCTAAAAAAGATCCTGTGAGTACGTCAGTGAAATGTCTGTGCAGACAATGTACACTACCCCATTTCAAGCTCTAACCAATAGGCATTTACTGCATAGAAGGAGGCCATTCATCCAATTTCCCCTTTACTAGCTCTCTAAAAGAGCTTCTCACGTGGTCTCACTCACTTGATTTTTTCACAATCTTTTAAGTATGTAAATATTTCTTCACTTCTGTTTTAAATTATGGTGCCACTGGACAAGTCTTTGAAGATCCTCTGTGAAAAAATTGTTGCAAACAGGTTTGAAAGGGTCTGAAAGAGTTAATCCTGAGGAGTCCCATAAGCAGCACCCACAGTTCTGATGACATGTGAATAGAACAGTTTAGCAACTCAAAAGGAGTGAAGTTTGACACCAGGTCCTCCTCAATGTTTTCTAACAAATCCTATCATCGCAATATAACCTGTACTAGTTGCTGATTATAGTTTGTTAACTACGAGATACTTTTCCAGTTAGATTAGGAAGTCAATTTCCTCTACCAGAAGAGACCAAGCAGACTCCGTAGTTTTCTAGACTAAGAGAGAATTGTAGCAGCAATCTTTGCCATTAGCAGTGGCTCATACTGAGCTGGCTTGTCCACACAAACTGGTGAGCAATGGTGTGAAATCTTCAGACTCAGCTTGAAGTCACCTACTGATACAACACAACCAGAACTCTTAAGAACTCTAAAGAAGAGAAACTCTCTTGGTAATTCTCAACAAGGAAGAATACTCCAGTGATGGTAAAAGCATTTCAGACCCAGTAAGGGAAGTTCTTCAACATGAGAGTTAACTGAAGAAGAATACTAGCTTCAAACCAAATACAGACTGCATTCCAAGGGAGTGGTCCATGGGAGCAGTCCTAAGTTGCTGTTCAGTGGTTGAGTGAACAGACCATCGAAGGCTCGACTTAAAAGCCTGGTGAACCAGGTGAAATTATACAACAAAGCAGTAACCTTGGAGTTAAAAAATTACTTACTCGTCAGATCAAGCCTCATCACCAGACCAAGCAGGCACAATGAGGAATGACTATAGAAATGGAAGTAAAGGGCGACAAAAGAGATATAATCCAAGATTGAAGATCCGGGGACATCACAAAGCCACTAATTAAAGTGATAACCTTGGGCAGATTAAAAGGTTAAAAGGAATCTTATCTAATAGGGACAGAATGTTTGGAAAAAAATATTCATAAAGTTTTAACAGAAAGACAGGAGATCATTTATATGGTGTTGTGATAATTTCTGGAATCATTTATTTAAACCAGAAAGAATGGAAATCATTCAGTAAATGGTGATTAAAGTGGGAATTGTTTTTTAAAGCCAAAAACAGCAGGATTCATACAGTGAAGCTGTGAAAAAGCAAGGAATCAAGAGGATTTCTGAGGGAAGCTGTTCCCAGAGATACTTGGCAATCACCAAGTACAGGGCTACAGCCTAGTCAGCTAGGTGGTGGCCGGGATATTGAGGATCGCATTGTAGATTGCAAAATCTGTGCCATCCACAGATCTGAGCAACAAAGACCCATTGATCGTCACATTCCCCGCCAGCTTGATGGTACATGTGGGCACTGATCTATCAGTTCTTGATGACACTGATTATCAATTATTTCTCCTGATGAAAAGAGGAGAAGAAGTTATATGCCATGACTACAGATGCAGTTTTCCAAGTTTCATGAGATCTTTGCAGTGCATGGTATCCCTGATATGGTTGTTTCAGACCAAGGCACACAGTTTGCTTACAAGTGCTACAGTCAATATGCAGCCAGTTTTGGCTTCGTGAACATGTCACTAGCTCATCGAGATGCCCACAAGTGAATGGAAAAGCCGAGCATAGTGGTCAGGCCAGTTAGGTCGTGATTGAAAAAGAATAACAATTTCTCTCCGGCCTTGTGAAAACATAGAACAATCCCAATACAACATGGTCTCGTAATATCAGAGTTGCTGATGAGCAGGAAGCTGAAGGACTCAGCTCCTAATCCTAAAAAGAAGTTGACTCCACGTTTATGCCTCCAGGACTTTTAAGGCGCGTATATAAGGAACAGTGCTATTGGGTGCAACAAGTCACAGACTACAGTAGGTGCCACCCTAAGACAGGGGCAACAGATGTGGATCAGGGATCTTAACAGTAAAGGCACAAAGTGGCTACAAACCAGCAGGGATTGTATGTCATTGATTGTTTAAGGGAACGACAGGAATGCAGCAGAGAATTGATAGTCTGAGGTCTATAAGTCCCATACATCATCAGGAAAACTATCAACCAGTCTCCCAAGTCCAAAGAACACACATTTCTGGAGAGTAGCAAAACCTCCAGATCACTTGAATTTATAAAGTCAGTGTCTTATGGGGGAAATAGGGTAGCGATAATTGTAACCATATAAACAAATGCGTCTTGTTACCCGCAAGAGATTCTTCTAGTTAGGCCAGAAAGTGATTTTGCTCTTCAACCCTAGATCAGGGAGGCCCTGTATTTTAAAGAGAGTGGTGGCAATTATCTTCAGCATGAGCTGCAGCTGATACAGTGTTGTTAGCTGGCACAGCATCAATTTTTTCTCTAACCTCCTAGTCTGTTTTCTTGGTGATGATCCTAAATTTCCGCCTTTAGATCATTCCATGGCATACGGAACAGAAGAAAAGTGTATGCTTTTGGAAACTAGACAATTCTGGCACTGCACAGCAAATCTGTCCCCTCCTCCATTGAATACTCCAATATATTTTTAAAAATAAGTTTCATAACGGTTGACAATTTATTTATGGTATTACCTTAGAATGTCTTTAACAAATCAAACACCTGATCACATGTACAAATATAAATGAATTTAGGAATAAACAATGAATATGAAAAATAGTTTATTTGTTCTGGCACCTGCATACATCAATAGAACGTTGGAATTTTATGGCACAGATGAGGACAATTTATTTTCTAGAACAATCCAAAAGTAATCCTGTGGCCCAGCACTCACCCAACAGCGCTGTATTTTCCTCTGCTTCAAATGTTTGTCCACTTTCACCTCTAGTTGATGACTCATTGACCTACCAAAACTTAGGCCCAATAAAACTCCACAAAATCCCCATTTGGGGTTTTCATCTTTGTTCGTTTCTCCTCATGTTGGGCTAAGCACCAGAAGAGATCTTAAGAGCCAGGACTGAGAAGCAGAAATCCCTAGCTTCTAGGGGATTTGAATTGTGGCCTTGCACCCAATTGCTAGGCATGTGCCTTCCTCCTTCATTGTACTTCTGCAGTCAACTGTGCTCACGTACCTATAGTGTCTCCTTTAGTCACAAAGCCGCCACTAGAGTTACAAGCCATAGGTCTGATTCATGGACTGTTCTTATGACAGCACTACATTGAATTACATACAATATGCAGTACAGAATCACCCATTCATCTCAACTGTCTATGCTCGTGTTTATACTCCATAAAAGTCCTCTCCCATTCCAGCTCCCTCATCTCAGCTTTTCAGCGTAGCTTTGTAATACATGACGGTAAATGATTTGTCTAGCTTCCTTTGAAGGCATCCAAGCTGTTTGCTTTCACCATTTCCTGTGGCAACCAGTTCCATATTTTAACTCCTCCTCTCAGACTAACTTTACCCTACCTCCCCCCCCTTATTTTCCCATTGTTTTTTGTCAGTAATTATCGTGGATTTACATTTGTATGCAATCAAGGCAGCTAGATGGCAGCACGTTTGTGACGAATCCTTCTTCTATTAAGTTTGTGTTGTGCTGAAATCCAGTTTTCAGTGAAAATGGCAATGTGGTAATATTCAGGAATACAGGGAGTTAAGAGTGATTAACTGGCAACATTCTATCCCGCCCTGCAATAGACACAGGGATTATTGCAAAGTTTTTGATAGAACCGTTGAAAATTGCAGAAGGAGTAGGCCAGAGACAACAAGGTGCAGGGCTGGATGAACACAGCAGGCCAAGCAGCATCCTAGGAGCAGAGAGGCTGACGTTTCGGGCCTAGACCCTTCATCAGAAAAGGGGGAGGGGAAGGAGGTTTTGAAATAAATAGGGAGAGAGTGGGAGGCGGATAGAAGAGGGATAGAGGAGAGGATAGGTGGAGAGGAAACAAACAGGTCGAAGAGGCGGGGATGGAGCCAGTAAAGGTGAGTGTAGGTGGGGAGTTAGGGAGGGGATAGGTCAGTCCAGGGAGGACGGACAGGTCAAGGGGGCGGGATGAGGTTGGTCGGTAGGAGATGGAGGTGCGGCTTGAGGTGGGAGGAGGGGATAGGTGGGAGGAAGAACAGGTTAGGGAGGCAGGGACGAGCTGGACTGGTTTTGGGATGC